ATTTATGAAAAAAATATTGCAATTTCTTTTTTTTTACTGTATCTCTTATTTAACGTCTTTAATACTATAACTGCAGTACATTTATAAGTATACAATGACCTTTTATCAATGAAATACATAAAGTTAATCCTAATGCAAAAATGTATGATTAACATTCACTCTCCATGTCTTTAAATGGCTGCAAAGTTAAGGTTGAAACTGAATATTACATGCCGCGACGAAAATACAAAAATCCAATCTAGCTTTTATAAGCTAGATCTCACTTTAATTTCACAAATGGCTACTTGTTGAAATAAGGCAACAAATGTCTAGGTGGCATATACCTATATATTCAACTATAGTAGAGCAAGCATTCCATAAAAATAACCTTAATTTTTAATGATCAAGATCACGAGATATAGCGGGTTGGCAAATAGTTCCTAGTAACTTGCTGCTATATATTTAAACAAATGCCATTTTCAAAATGCTAAGCCCGACCATGACACAGAAGTTCAACGACTTTTGTAGTTGCGTTGATCTTTGAAACCTAGTCAATGGATGCGGATAAAACTTGACTCGGTTCAAACCAATCAAATAGTTTGAGGTACAAACTCTGACAGACACTAATTAAATATTCAGTCAAGTTTTAATGCTATAATAACTATTACGTTCGTCTCCAATTTCCTGTTTTCACAGGTAGAAATTAGATAAATGATTATTTTAAGTTATCACTTGAATAAGGACTTTAAACAACTTGTAAACGTTTCCAGCTATATGAAGATCTAAACAGTCTATTTATAATTTCGAAATAGCTCAAACTTTGCCTGGTGTTAAAAGAGAGAAGAAGAAAGCGAAGCGTGCAGTAGCTTTCACAAGTCCATATTTACACATAACTATAAATAGGACGAGTTTCATATCACGACTGCTTTCCTCCTGTGTTGGCCGTACTTCACGTTGGCTCTTGCTTACTTACAGCGATTACTTGCAGGAAATCGTATATTTTACACTGGTTATATACTGCTCATTGCAACTGGCCAATTGTTCCAGCAATTATAGTAGATCCAGCCTAACTGCACAGCAGTGTTCTACGGTTATGTCGCTCTCAACTCATGCTTGTTTGTTTTTTGTTTTTTCTTGTTTTGTTTTGCTTTTAAGATTTGGTTCCAGATTTTATCTATGTTATTATTCGAAATTTTTGTTTCGCTTTAGCTGAAAGGCTTCTCAGAATTCCTCAATCTTTTCCCTTTTAGTGATGTCTCCACTTCCTAATCGCTTTCTTGTATAAGCTCTGACGTTATATCGTAGATCTTTAACACGGTAGAGGTGACAGCAGTCGTTTACAGTCAAACCCAGCTATTCGTCCTGCCATAACGTGTAATGTATTTAACCGCCTCGCGATCTCGTCTTGTCTCTAGGGGCAATTCAAGATCCGTTCACCATCAACAGCCCGAAGTTTGAGTCATGCATAAAGGTTTGGCCGACCAACTTACAAGGCCTCCCACTCAGGTTCGCGCATTCTGCACGTGCGTCGGCCAGAAACGAACTCCAGTACCAGCAGCAGAGAATGGTAAAGAAACAGTGGACTAGACATTATGATAGATTTAAACAAACTTAGCTAGTTGTACTTAACCACAATGTTCGACTAGTTGTACTTAACCACAAGGTTCGACTCAACCTCTTTTACTTTCACCGTTAGTCGCTTTAAAATACCCCCCCCCCACCCATAATCATGAAATTGTTGACGTTTCTTCGTGTTACGAACATACTTAACATTTATATTACTTTAAGATGTTTAAAATACATAACATCTTATCGAAACAGGCACACTTAGCATTTTGAATCTCACACATTAACACTCAAATGAAGCATAAGCAAAATGATAAAAACATCAGTAGCTCAATAAACTATATAAGGATAATTCTGATACAAATGAAAGTGACGTCATTGTCGTTATATAGACTGTTAATAAAACACGTTAAACACACATCAAAGATGGTTATATTCAATGAATATAGTGAATACATATTGTTTATCTTTGCCTGAATGCTTTACTCTTCTTCAGATACATCTATCTCTTGCAAAACATCCTTACTGTAAAGGACCGAAACAATAACCATATATGTTTTTGTTTTACAATTGTCATCCATGTGTGAATAGAGTTACGTCAGACATTACCTGAATAGTTTTAAATATAGACAAGCGATTAAACTGAAAATATGTGATCGTTAGTCAGAAAACGTTTCATTGTATCTGATCATTTTTGCTTATAATTTGGAATTTAAACCATGCCGATAGACAATTTGCACTACACCAATTTGATACAAAAACATTAAAAACCTCATAAGTCTTTTAAATTCCTGGCTCACAGTATGTATTTGTATCATGAGCATAGTTTGTATTACAAAACAATTTATATAAATAAGAGTCCTTAAAAATAAAAGTTTTTAGAGCGAACGTCATATAGTTTGCACGAGCTATTGAAAATTTGCGAACTTTTAAACTTATGTAAATCTATACGCATTAAGTTACAAAAGCAAATTCATGAAACCAATACGTACTGTATACGTTCTGATCATTGTTCAACAGGTTTTGATAAGCATCATATATATAGTTTATATATACGACTGAAAGAAATCCTTAATATACAAATACATGCTAAATGTACATAGCTAACTAGTTAACAACAAGCACGCGTATGTACTTATATAATATTAACGAAACTTATCGGGGAAATAAAAAAGTTCCTCTTTTATTTTTGACAATGGTTTAATAACTCAAGTTAAGCAAACGGAGAACAACATTTGCATGCCATATGAGGATAGAAAAAGTATTGCCATGATTATAAATTATATTTAATTACAAAGAATTCTGAATATATATATATGTGTATATATTTACCTTTCTTTCACAAAGTTAACTTTTGATGCTTCAACCGCAGTTCAGTAAATCGCCCTACTTATGATCCACCTATTCCATAAATTCATGTAGCCTAATAGTCTGTAGACTGGCAATCAACCACCATGCCTGTTCGAGAGCTGACGGATTGCTCGTCGCACGGTTTCAGGAAAGAATAAAACGACTGAACGTCATCTCAATGTTGCCATGGTTCCTGATCTCATTATGATATTCAAATTGTTCGATAAAAAAATCCAATTTTAGTGAAAATACTATTGCGCGCTCAGACTCGGATTGGCTGACGAGGCTGAGGCTCTTATACAGTCTATAGGAAGTCATTAACATTATACTTTCTGACGCGCTCCTTTCCGAATCTCTCTAGAAGGAGATCTTCCATTTTATTGGAGAAGACGGCCCTCGCATATGAAGCTGTCTGTCAATCTAAACTCAAGTAAAATGCAAATACGGCCGAGAGTGTCGCTCTTGTCTAAGGTGTGTTACCCTGCGATGTCTGCGCACCAAACTACATGTAACCCAACCAATGAATTTCTCCCCGGATAGAGAGGCTTCAACCCGCCCATACGGCAGAGGCCTGGGAGAAACAAATACCCTAAGATGTGTCACTTAACAGTGATCAAAGAAGGCGGGAGAGGAAAATATTGATATTAAAAAAATAATAAGCTAACCATTTTACCTGTATATAAATGTATATACATTTCCAGTTAAGAATTATATACTTAAGGACGGATCCTTCGATAAACACATTCGCATAATTACCTAATTGACCGAAATAACTAAGTCTATCACCTTAAGTTACTTAATCAATATTAATTACAATTTATGTGAAATGAGTAAAACAAGTATCATTGCAGTGTATTTAATCCTACACATTCGTAACATGGTCTCACTTAACATTGGGATTACAGTGGCTTTTAAAGACTTTTCATAATACTTTCAAGTTTTCAAGGTAATTAATTTAAGTGAACAGACCAATGAGTATTCATAACGAAATTACACAGAAACAAGTTCGTTAGATAACGAAATGCTAAGTACATAAAAATAAAAATGTATGTATAATTATAAATTTTAAACAATGAAAATATGCTGAATATCATACATACTACGTATGAACTGCAGATATATCGTAAAGGTTCACAACGTTTAATATTCATTGTCTTTAAATATCTTATTATTTGATAAGATCCAAGAAATAATTGATTTACTGAACACTCGGTGTTTATATAGCAATTAAAAAGTAAAATACAACAATATCATCTGAGTTTGAGACTGCCCTCATGCGGTGTACAGTGATATATCAAATATTTATAATAAAAACGTTTGATGCAGAAATATAAGGTTACTTCAGATTTGTATGTACCTATTTAGGATTGTCAAGCTATATGTTTGTACATAAATACATTTGTGTGTGTGTGTATTATATATTAACACCGCCAAGTTGACTGAAAAGCACTTGAAATATATTGAGCAGGAAGCGGTCACTGGAGTAAGAAGTTTCAGTTAATACTTACGTTATCCAGCCAATAGCCTTGGACCAACGCAGTGATGGGAATTGAAAGACCACAACTACATTACACCCAGTGGTCAGTAACGGCAAACCAACAAGAAAAACGCGCTTGACGTCGATTTTTGCTGGAAACCTACATACTCACACCCCAGTTCGCCACTTGCCTTGTGAGCTACAAGGCAGTACACTAGGAAACTTACGATCCCACGTCTTCGGCAAGCAGTCGACACGTTTGCGGCGGACATTACGGTGCTCTTCGTACATTCAACCGAGTCGATAACATTCTTGTTATCAAGAAATTATGATGTTCCAAATTGGTTTGATTAAAACAGCAGTATTCTAAGCCCTGCTAGTGAAAACAGGATACGATGAAACAAACCCCTCACGAGGTAGAGCTTTGTAGTCTAACGCATGATGGGGGATCCTACGGCATGGGGAACTTTTTCAATCAGCATTTCCTCCGTCACGTTCATGTGTGAGTAAGTGCGAGTCTATCAGAAGGAAAAATAAACACGGCTGTCTCGGATGGGCCTGAGGGGGGTGGGGGGGGGATGCTTGGCCACGTAGGGCCAGGAATCACGTTTCATAGCCCTTTACTTCATACACTTAACCAAACAAATCCCGACGACTGAATGCAGAATTTTGCACCTCGAAGACGCCGCAAAGAACTTTCGGTGCTATAAACGGGAAGAAGCCAGGCAAATCTCTGCCTTGTATGGATTACCAGATTTAAGTAATGTGATTTTTTTTGTGTGTGTGTGTATGAAAACTAGTTCAGTGTAACTAGTTGATAAACCAATGAAGAAAAATAATAGGTAAGATGAAAAGTCAGTTTTTTATACTTACAAATAGCAACGAATTGTCTTATACTACAATATTTTTGTTTCGTTCATACATAATATATCGATTTAACAAACTTTAACTATTACAAAAATGATTTAATTTCGGCCAAAAAAGAACATAATTTTTTTTAAAAGTCTTTATAAACTATAGAAACTTCAAAACATAGATTCGTGATCACTTGGCTTGGGTATTTACAGTAGAATCCTTGTTTTGAATTCTTATTGCTCACTTATATACTATCAATCTGTTCTTATACGTATTTTATATTAGGTATCTTCTCGTTTTACTCTTTTAACTAGTTTTGAAATATACAGCAAGTACGACAATACTGAAACTATTTGTTTGTTGTTAAGCGCAAAACCACACAATGGGCTCTCTGTGGTGTGTCCCCATCACGGGTATCGAAACTGATTTTTATTGTCGTAAGCCCTCAGACTTACGCTGAGCCACCGGGGCTATTGGAATTATATGTATGAGAAGTCTTAGATTGCGCATTAATGAAATAAAAAACTAGTAAAAACACTAAAAAGTGTTTTCATAGGCGACCATAGGAATTCAAAATTGTGAGACAAGAAATACAAAAGTTCTTTACATATTATCTAACCCTGCTCTGAATAAAATATATGTATTAACTTCGTTACTCTTACAATCATCACACGGACTGCCGTTCACGTGTCTTGCGATACTGTTAGCAATCGGAATTTTATATATAGAGCGCGTCCTAACTCTCTCAAAAGCTCTTGGAGGTTAGTGTCACGTCACGATTAGAATACTTTCAGGGTTCCCAGCCAGCTATTTTTTAATATTACTTCTATTCTAACTTTATCTTATTTATTTTTTTACTCACGTTTCCAATCAGAAATTGACGTCCCATATCGTCAAGAAACCTGAAGTTTCTTCATCCCATGAACCAGTAACATCCGCAAGCTAAGACCCAATTAAAGGTGTGAACAACAGCTAAAAAATGCGTCTGTTAGTGTAGCGAGCCCACCACTGCGCGATGAAAATGATCGCAGCACATAGTATGGCACAAGAGATCTAGTCTGCCAAAAAAATCGATATTTTTTATACTGGAGATATAATGGGTGGTATGTGAGGTTGAGCAGTAAAAAACTGAGGTTCATCTGCTCGCTCGCTAAAATAAAAGAAAAGAAAACTGTGATTAATATAAAAATGGCGACTTTTCAACACCTTTAGTAATTAAGAAAGGAGGAAAACTAAAAATGGCTGTAGGCTGCGAGTCACACTAACCTTTCTTCCTTATGAGCACAGCTTTCCCCAGGAGTTCGTTTGTTGAACTGCAGATACATATCTTTTAAGTTGCATGTCTTTACGTGATTCTTTGTCATTCGTTTTGTTGCCCATTGTCACCGGGGTACGAGAAGTACTTCATCGGAATGGAACAACCGCCAAAAACCTCCAGTGTATATGTAGTTCAGTCTACGTGTTTTATTGTGGTTGTAATTAATTATAAAAAATTAATTGGAATGTAGTGCGCATGTACGAGACAAAGGTTATTGCAAATGAACTATGGGAAATCTAAAATGGCGACTTAGCTTAGTATGCTTTGACGAGTAAGAAGATTAAAGTGAGTTCAAAGAAGTGTTTTATGTAAGTTCTAAGCAATTACGCGAAATATTTCAGTTTCTATTGTGCCATTCTGTTACCAGAAAAGCTAGTAAAGTATAATTTTCTTTCTAGTACGTTAAAGACTCATTAAACTTAATACATAGAGAAACAATTCTGAAGTTGACCGACGTCTGTACTTTAGATATATATATAGGCAGCCCTTGACTGTTGTTACGTTGAGCTTGTTCAGTTTAAGTCGCGTTGTTGTTAAGCCTAACCACAGAATAACGCTAAATTTAACCATTTAACAGAGATTGAGACAGAGCGTTAAAACTGAACTTGGCTGAGTTTAGACTGTAATTATAATAATATTATGAAGTACGTGTGTTAATATATTCTTGGAGACTATAAAATTCATTTACACATATACATTTTGTTGAAAACAATATGTATCACAAGTTTTAATTATATACTTTATTATTAATGTTTCTAAAATTTTCACAAATTTTGATCAGGTCAGTGGACTTATTTTCCATTTAATGATTTAGTGATTTACTGCTGATTTAAGTGTAGTGTTAGATCCTTTTATTCGCTTTAAACTTATAATGTTTTATGTAGGAAATAAAAATAAGAACCAAAACAGCACTAGCTGCTATATATATATATAGTATTACTATTAGCACTGGAAGTAGTCTGGATTAAGTACCATATTAATGCTATTACATGTAGACATAAAAATGTAATTGTAAGTAATTAAAGTATGGTATTTATAAATGAGGCCAAGAGTCAGTTTAATTTAAGAACAGTGAAAGTAAAACATAACATATAGTTTTATTGTTGTTATCAGTATGACCTGATCTTTGAATAGCTGAGTGCAAGATGCAAGAGTATAGAAAATTTTTATGTAACCCATGCAACATTTAAAAAATATTTAGAATAAAATTCTTGACAACCCACTTTTTTAGTAAAGAAAAATTCCAAAACAAAATGAATTAAAGAAGCATGAATGTGTCAAGCTCTATAGTAGATGAAGAAAATTATAAGATTTTAAGGGTGAGTAACAAATATTCAAAACCTGATGAATATTTTAGGGGTCCTAGAACTTCCTTTGTCATCTACTTTAGTATTATTATTATTGAGAACCAATTTGTGTGTGGTAATGTGTATATATCACCTTCAGTGTCAGGCTGTTTATTATGCTTATAGAACGTTGTACATTTGCTGTCATGTTAAACTTATATTAAAGTTTTTCTTCATTACCCATTTAAGCCGTCTCCAGCCATTATTAGTCTCAAAGTGGGTTCCTCATCATCGAATATGCTTATAGAAGTCCACTAATAAATTATAAAATAAGTGGTGTAAATTTTTTCTGCAAAAATTAAGAGTAGGCTGTTACAGTTACTGAAACTTATCAACAGAAGGTTAATAGAGTTTTGGTGTTACTGAATGCAATTGTTTATGATAACATTTTGTTCATGTTTGAATATATATATATTGCTAAATTCATCATATCCAGTTTAAGCTTATTTATAATTTCTATTCCTAAATTGTCCTCTTCTTGTAACTGGAAAGAATATAACAACAAACATAATGACATAAAGCTATTTAGCCCTACATATCATCCTTCCACCCATCAAAAACATAATGTAGTCTTTCAAACCCAGGCATCTAAGACAGTATTCAACGGATGTTTAATTTAGAAGTAACAACGCACACATTGTATTATTAGGCAAAATATTCTGCATATTGTAGCTAATCTGAACTAATTACAATGAAGAACAAGTCAAGATTTGGGCTTCCAAAGCTTATTCTTGGTACTCTTAATATTCAAATTCTTATTTTTAGTCTCATAACTTTACCACATGTTTTATCAAAGATCTAAATCAAGTCGCTCTCACTTCATCTGTGACCTAGAACAAAGGCTGAAACTTTTAAGCTTTTTTTATACCTCAGATTTCTTAAACCAGTTATAATTTTAGCAATCACCCATTTCAATCTTTCCAGTGTATTTGTATTTGGAGATTAAAATTGTTTAAAGTATGCTAAATAAGACTGTAAAGCACTGCAAATCTTTTCTGTGATTTATTACTTGAGGATTAGGAGTTTACATTGTTCACTGTATTGTGGTATTGTAAATTGTATTTATGTCATCATTAAGGTGACAGGTAATGGTCAAAATATAGTGTGTTTATGGTCTACTTTGAAACTCCCCCCCCCCCAAGTTTCTTCCTTTTAGGTGTAACATTTAATGCTTGTCATTATTGAAAAAAATTTCCAGTATCATTATCCAGATTCCTCTGAATTTAGAGATGAACAACTTTATCAGGATATCAGCCATTCTGCTCTCATAGTACTGCTACTGAATTTTAACAAACAACTGCATAACTGTCTGATCATTAATATAAATAATGGAAAACTAAATTCCATAAACAAATCTCTGAGGGATCTTCCTAGTCCTGTAGTTACAATTATATCCATTGGTATGTCTTTCATCAATTGCTTATTAACTAACCTTTCTGGGGCATTAAGTGTTATATGAAAGTCAAAACACATCATCTGCTGAGGTGCTATATATAAAAGTCACGGTGGAATTGTCTGCTCGGGACTTCACCCATAGTAGCTTATTTGATAAGATCTCAAATCACTACTGTGAGCCAAAGATTCCAGGTTCAAGTTTTACAGCTCTAAGCAGGGAAGATTTCACAACATTCTGATATCATCTATTTGTTTAGCAAACTAAATTTATTATCTTGTTATTTTGTGTCAGTAACCTTTCTCAGACCTCAACACTAAACTCCTAAAGCACGAAGGGTACAACTTAGGAATTCATTTGATGGTTACACATAATGTCTCAAAGTCCAATAATCGCAGTATAGCATGATTTGAGATATATGACAGCCTAATACTGTTTGAAAAAACATTAAAAGAGTAAGTCAAGGAGTAATATTATGAAAAAGTAAAAGATCCACACTCTTACACAAGAAAAGAAACATTAAAATTGTTAAGTAAATTGCAGAAGTATTCAATAATGTAAGAATAAAAATACCTTTAAAAAACAAGTTATTTCATTTACTATTGTCATAATGAAGAAAAACCAATTGAAAGCAGTGGAAAATGCCAAAACAAAGAAGAAAATTGATACAAACACACAAATAAAATCAAAGCAAGATTTAAGAATATTTCAAACTTTATCTTTTTATGGTTATAGAATACTTAATTTGTCAATTATTTTAAGTTGTTTCCTGCATATGTTACATGTAAGCAGTTAAGTTAAAGATATAGCAATATGATATAAAGGCCATTTGATCTATCAGAACACCCCCTCACACCAGAAACTTTAGTCAAACATAAATAAAAGTCCAGAAATATTAATATGGATATAGTGTTGTAGTTTGGGGCTATGTAAGCTATTTCTTTTAACTGATGTAGCTTGCATGTGACATTTTTTGATGTTCAGGTGTTTTTGTGCTGTTTTTTTAATTCTGGACTGAAAAACAAAAACAACATGGTGTAGGTGACTTTAACATCCAAGATAACTGGCAATTTCAATAATCTGCTGTAAACATTTTTAAAGTCTGTAGGTGACCAGCTGACTTGAAAAAGTTATTAAATTTAGTTATTCAAGGAGTATTTCATCTTTGTGTTTCCTTTGTTTTTTTTTTTTTGCTTATATATTTTAGCTAGAAGGTTTTATGAGATATAACTTATTTGATGAATTCACATTTATACAAATGGCAAAATCTTTTTATATTGAATTAATAAGAATGGATAAGAGAGAAAATTTGGTATAGAAAAGCATTCTTGTGAGATATTAAATCAAAATATTTACATATTTTCACACTGACTTGCACTTACTTCAGTGTTATTCTCTATATTTTATATAAATGTAATTGTATATACATTTTATAGATATATGATGTTAACATGATGCTACAGTAAAGAAGAGAACATTTAAACTGCATAACTGAAGAATACATTATATTTACAAGTTTTGTGAATCTATTCATATATGTCATACGTTGACACTCTTGAAAAATGTTAGCATTATAAAATATTAGTGTTGGGTTTACAAATAAAATGCATAAGCATAGCTACCCATAATCCTTTTGCCTTTGTTTCAGTAAATAAAATTTTCTTTAATAAAATCATTATGTAGCAGTTATTGAATTGTAGCTACAGGAAACACAATTGTATAATTTGAATTTTTTTAAGTAAGTGAATGAAAGTTGAAAAATTGTGTTACTTTGAAGAAAATATTTTAATTTGCAATCTGTGTAGAACTATGAATTGAACATTTCAGAAAATTATGACATTAACATTATTTCTTCTTTTATTAACTTAGTCATTATATTCATAATAGTGGGCAGTGTGCTGGAAATCCAACTATAATTTACAATAGAAATGGGTTATACAAATTATATTATCATGGTCTAATATCTTATTTAAAATTAACAGTGCATTCCACTTTCCCAGACTTCCACACTTACCATTTACCTAATAAATTCAATTTGAAGAGCACATTTCAACATTTTCTCATAACTGGAAATTACTCCTTAAAAAAAGAATTAATCTTGTAAGTTTTCTTCTTTGAAGCTCCTATTTACTTTTTGCTATGTATTTTTGTAATAGGCCATTTTAAATACAAATAAGTATTTTTGAACATGTGAGCCACATTATACTATTTTTACAAGTCCTTGAATAGCAGGCAGGTGACAGAACATTGGAAGTTGGTTAATGTTGCTCCTCTTTTAAAGGGAGGAATAAGAATTATGTTGGTAATTATAGACCTTTTTGTCTTATGTCATTGGTGGGAAAAGTTTTTGAAAGTATGATAAATGATGTTTTGCAAAATCATTTAACAAAGTTTAAACTTTTATTTGATAGTATGGTTTCACTAGGATAAAAGTTTGCCTTACTAATCTCTTTGACATTCTCAGAAGAGGTTACTGCTTATGTAGATGAGGCTGTTTACTTGTTGCACCTGGATTTTCAGAAAGCATATGAAAAGGTGCCACATAAAAGGCTTGTTGAAGATTGATTTCTTCAGGTATGGGATCACTGGATAGAAAAGTATCTAGATGGAAGGAAGCTGATGGTTATAATTGGAGCTCAGTCAGACTTGATTAATGTCACAAGTGGGGTTCCTCAGAGTTTGTTGTTAGGACCATTGCTCTTCTTTTTATTTACAATAATGACAAAAATGATGGAATTGTCAGTGAATTGCATAAATTTGCTGATAATATTAAGGTTTTGGGTGTTGCTGTCTGTGAGAAGGATGCTCCTGTTTTACAAAAGGATTTGGATCATTTGATGAATTGGACAAATAAATTGCAATTGGCTTTTAATTATAATAAATGTAAGGTAATGCATGCTGGACATCATGATTTGAATTATGAGTATAATTTTGATGGGAATAACCTTAACAGTGTTATGGAAGAAAAGGATCATGGTGTTTTAGTTGACCAGTCTATTAAGCCATCCAAGAAATGTACTGTTAGTAGTGGCAGGGTAAATTGGATTTTCAGTTGTATCTACAGAAATATTGGATACGAGTTTGAAGAGGTTATAATTTCATTGTATGGGTCACTGGTTAGGCCACATTTGGAGTGTTGTGTTCAGTCTTGGGCTCCCTACTTAAGAAAAGACATTGAATTGTTGGGAAGAGTTCGGAGGAGTTCTATCAGTATGATACCTTGGATGGAAAGTTTGTGCCATTATGAAGACAGATTGAGATTTTTGAAATTGTTTTTCTTGAGAAAAGAAGAATTAAAAGAGATCTGGTTTGAGGTGAATAAATTTGTTAAGGGCATTGATAGTGGCAATGCATCATCTTTTTTTTGGATTTGATGCTGAGTATGGTAGGATTAAGGGACACAAGTATAAATTATGGGACAGTAGAAGTCACTTACAGCTAAGACAGTTATATTTTTCTAAAAGGGTGGATGGCCTTTGGAATGAGTTGCCTTCAGATGTGTTGGAAGCAGTAAATTTAGGGGAGTTGAAGGAAATGCTTGATAAATATTTAAGTGTTAAGGGTTGGTTTTTAGTCTATGTGGTGTTTGTGTGTGTGTGTAGCATATACATTTGAATAACTTTTGACATTACAGTATTATAAGTAATTGTATACAAATAATACTTTCTTTTTTCAGGCAGAAAATTTTTCACTTTTTGAAGTTATGTAAAAGTGTATAAAGAGAAGAAAATGACAGTCTCAATAATTTGTTGTCAACAAGAATTGACATTTTACTGGTTTATGTTATTGCATGTCTTGTTTTGAGCATTTGGGTTTTAAGTGGAATGCAAGCACACTGAAAAATATATATTGATTCTTATTTAATCTTTTCAGAGACTCCTGTTTATTTGACTGAAGTTTTTATTGGGTATAGACTAGAGAGAAAACAACAAGAGTCCAAGTTTGTCATGTGAAATGTGTGTACTTTGGAAATCTGTTAAAGAAAAGGTATGGATGCAAATATAGCTTCAAAACCAAAATATAGAAGTTTTAACATGTTTTGAGTATTTCTATAATGTTTTTTTTCAAGAAACATTTAAAATATCTCAACAAGAAAGGTTTAGGTGGTATGTATTCTTTGTTTTTGTGTATTAATTTTTTGTGAATGGGATGATTGAGATGAAAAGATGCTATTTCAATTAAGTATATGATTCTTAGGTCTTTTCACTTTCTAGACATATTTCTAGATCCTGGTTCCTTTATAATCAGATCTGATAATAGATTTCTTAATGAATTTCAGTTTTTTGATGAAACTTGTTACTGTCAGGATTAAATTATCTTCTCTGATTTCATATTGCTTAAGCAATTGTTTCATCATGGTTGACTTCATCATTTTTTTTAAGGTGGTTACTCCTATGTATTCTCAGTGGGTTATGTATGTCAGTATTGCTGTTGAAACAATTCAGAACATACATGTATGCTTTTTATATCAGACTTGTTTAGAAAAGAATCAAAATGGCAGTTAAAAGTTTGAGATTGAACCATTAAGCAGTCTTGAAAGGTGAAGAATGATAGAGAATAAAACTTTGAAATCAGAGAAAAGTGAAAGGTTTTCCATTTTACTAAGTTATTAGAAAAAAGGAAAATAAAGATTCAAAAGAAACTGGAAATATTTTACAACTGTACATGAACTCAATTAGCAAAGTTAATTTTAAATCCTGATAACTGACATATGAAACCTAACATTGTTTCTAATATTAAGGATGGCAGTGTAAACAGAATAAAATGCAGTGATTTGTAATAAAATTCCTTTAAACTGAAAAATCTGGTAGTAATGTTGTAGAAAGAACAAAATGTATTTATTTACATATGTTCCAGTGTAGTTTTTTTCTCTTTTAATGGGACAGCTGCAGTAAAAAGAGAAGTATAAAAGATATAAACAGACAAAGGACAGACCTATTTAAGAATTCACCTTTCCATTCATCTTAAATACTTCACCCAGTCTGTTCTCAGAGCTTTCAAGCTGGACTCTAGACATATTGTTTGACTTCAGTGAACATTATATCCTCTTGGCCTCCCTTTCATTGTTCAGTAGACTGTTCACAGAAAACTACAAAGTCATTCACTGCATGCACAAGGTTCTCAGAGGCTACTGACTGGATGAACAAAAGAAAGGTTTATCAAAACAAAGAGTTAAAAGAAATAATTTACATGATAATTCTGAAACACAAATGTGTGCATGGAAATAAATCCTGATAATTACATATCTACATTTAATGCTTCTGTCTGGCTGGAAGCTTGGTTGTTTAAATCTTATAATTATTTACAAGTATTGGAAATCATTCAAAGTTAGATTGAATGCTTTTTATTTCTTATTTTATAACATTATACAATAAATACATCATCAAGATACCCTTTCAACTTGAGCAGAAAGAAAAGATAAAAGTTAGTGATGTTAATAGTCACTTAGAATCTGGTGTTATTTCAGTCCATTCTCCTGTGACTACACATCAAAAAATTCCTTGAAAAAATGCCCTTCTAGAAATAACAAAGAAGCTGTAAGCATACGCAAAATTTGCTGAAATATCATAGTTATGGGCATTTTTAGCATCTAAAGTAACATAGAATATATTATCCAATACTCAAGCTATTTTTGTCTCTTTCCAATATAAATTTCTTACTTTAGACAAGTATGAACCTTGTGATCAGCTAATACTTCTGAGGATGGCCTGTGGTTGATAACATAAACTCTTCAAAGTTATATTTTATTGTTGAAAGTGGATCATATTCCACTGTTCTGAATCCTAAAGCTCAGAATATTGGTCATTGTTGTACGATTAGCATTGTTTAAAGAACATGTTAATACATAAATATTATTTGTCTCTGTCAGTTGTAAAGACTGCATACAGATGAAGAAGCTAGACAGTTAAGACAGATTCCACAGCATTCTTGCTTATAAGTACTGAACTATAAATCAATAATTCTATAGAAAAAATGCATGTAGTTTCTGGATATTTTGTACTGCTAACAAACAGATTTATATAAAACATTTTAAACAATAGGAAGTTTTGAAACAGCTAGAAGTGGGATAATAGATTTATTTCTGAACAAGGTTTCAACAGTGAGACATGATTACTTACAACATTTAAGGTACAAGTATTCTCAAATTGCAAGTACATTTTATCAAATAATTGGGCTTATGATACTAGCTCCCTCTGGTTTCAGATGTAGTCAACTTAATACAAATATAATGGCACTCCTGATGTTTTATTTGTCTTTATGCTTCTAGGTAGTAAAATAATAATGACTAGATGCATGAAAAATGAAAAGAGTCAAACATAAATGAACACAAGATTGAAAAACAACATGAAATAAATTTTTAAAATATTAAAATATTGAATACAGATAAAAACCAAATGAAAGAAAAAAATCTGGAAGCACTAAGAATCAAAGAATTAAAATCTAACATTAATAAAACATAAGAAGTGCCATTATATTTGTATGAAGTTAAGTACATGTCAAACCAGAGGGAGCTAGTATCATAAACTCAATTATATGATTAGATGTATTAGCAACTTGAGTGTACTTGTACCTTAAATGTTGTAGATTATCATGTCTGCTGTTGAAATGTTGTAAAGAAATACATCTGTTGTCCCATGAATAGTTGTTTCAAAGCTTCATATGTTCATAAGTTAAGTGGGTACCTCTTATAAAGCAAAACCTTTTCAAGTTAATAAAATTATAATACCAGTGCAAATTTTTATTAACAACAGGGATTCTTAATGTATAATCAGCTTATATGTAACCATTATAAAGATATCCAATTTTAGGCTAGTTTCACAAGCATGGAGAGGGGATAAGACCTGAGACAATATTTATTGCCAGAGTATCATTTTCATTTTGAGTTTCTTGTGGGACAACTTAATATTTTATGTTTTCAAACTTATCATCTGTAAGTTTAGCTAGAAGTTTTATCCTTATCTGTTATCACAAATAAAGTATTGATTTATTCATTTCATGAAATAGGAATGAGCTATATAACTAATCATACTTGTGATAAGAAGTTATTCCCAAAGTGATTTCTTTATTTCGAGGAATGCTTTGAAACTTGTCATAATTCTCACTGGAAGAAGCTACAAAGATAAATTTCATCAGAGTAGAGTTACATCAGATACCAGAATCACTACTACTTTTAGAATGTGTAAGAACCAGTTTTCTTAGAAGAGATTCCTCTACTGTATAGCAGCAAAGCTTAACAGGCAAAGCCTTTTGTTTCCATACACATAGTTCTGCAAACACTGGAAGATTAGAATCAAACTGACATTTTTTTAAACATGTCAAATTATATGATACTCGTTATACAAGGAATAACAGTTTTGAATTGTTCAGAAAAAAAGCTTGAAAACTAATTAGTTATGCACAATCCATATATCCATACTAAAACAGACTTACAGAAAAGAGTAGAACTACATTGATTTTTAACATCTCAAATGTATTTGGCTCTTAAGTCATTGCTATGAAGCAGGGCCACCAGATAGCTAGCTGTATTAAATACTGAAAACGTTGTATTAAGGTTTAAGTAACAACTTAAAATCATGAACAATTTTCAATAAGGCACTTTTATTTAAATATTTGTAAACATATATTAAATTATTTAATCTTTTATAAATATAAGTTCTTACTTTCTACCACATCAATGCACAAGTTAGTAGAAATATTATCACTTATTTAGTATATATATATATATTCTTGATTTTAGTTACTGTACCTATTTATATATCTGGGATAAGATTTCTTATTTTTCATGTAAAAAAGACAAACATAATACATAAAGGATAATGAAATATTTCCATGTTAGTGGTATAATTATTTGAGTGATAATATCATACCTAGATAAAATATATATATATATTTTTTCTAGAAAAGCAACAGAATTGTTAATGATAACCATTATCAATAGTAATAATAATGTGTTACATGTTGTTTTTTTTAACCAACAAAATATGTTATCTGTGTGATGATTGAGTTCTTTAAAATCATAAATGAATATTGGTGGTTGAGAAAAACGTACTGAATATTATTTCTAATATTGAAATATTTTGCAGTATGAAAATGCTTATTGACAACACTTTGGATTTGCTAACTTGCAGTGTAGAAATGTTACTTTCTGAATATATATAAAGAAAATAGCTTACTTAATTTGTTGTCAGTTCAGATAGTTTTGAGAAATTTAGGTGGTGAATATCTTGACATCCACATTATGATGACAGCACAGTTTAGTTTGTGAAAAATAATTGCTGTTTTTGCAGTTTTGAAATATCTGGTAGAGTTTTGATAATATTGAGCTTAAAATTTCATTATCAGTTGGCTTATACATGTATATTGAGACCTTTGGTAAATTTTAGAACATGTGGTAAAGTATTTTAAATGATTTCTTTCAACATCAGAGCTGTTAAGAATTTATTATGAAAGAGTATCATTGGCAAATATGAAGAACACATAAATTAACAAAAGTGCAAGCACTTGCTATCAATCAGAAACACAGTGTTGTATTTGGCACCAATCAGAAACATGTTGTTTGGTTGTGGTACATATCAATATAGTTTGTATTTAAACAAGAGCTATGGTAAGTTACAGGTTTCTTTACATTATTTCATTCGTTTGTTTATGGTAAATACTTGTTTGTACCTTTAATTTAGGTTTCTTTGTTTTTTATTCTCATCTTAGTGGTTGAAATAGTAGTTTTTTGTTTTGTTTCTTTGGCAGAAACCAGAAAATCTGTTTGGAAATGGTATGCAAATAAATAGAACAGTTGTCACACTGGTTGTAAAGTAGATACTATACACTTACATACAACTGGATACTGTTCACTAATGCCTAAACTTTTAAATATTACATAGAAACAGAAAGAATAGTTAAAATAAATTGATGAATACTGAAAATTACATCTTTCATACTGTCTTAGCCCTAGATATTTAAATAATCTACATCATGATCATACTGTTATT